ATATAAGGCTCTGACCCCCACAACTATGCAAGCTTCATTAGCCAGCTCTGAATCAGAGCTTCCCTAGCTATCTCCATCCTCCGGAGGGGGCTGTTTTTATACTGTTTCCTGTGCCTGAGGTTCCCGTTTGTTAACCTGGTGTACCTGTGCCTGCAGCAGAGCTTGGGTACTCTGGCTCTTCCAGTCAGTAGTAACCAAGTAATCACCAACAGTAGCTCTTACATAGGTGTACATATTTGCCCTTTTCCTAATCTTTCGGGTAGAACAGAGAGAAAGCAAAAGAAAGCAAGCCACAGCAATTAACGCATCGCATCACATCACATTCATTCACATCACACAAAACTAGACCATCCAGAACAGGAAAGAACTAAATCTGTAAGCAAAAAATAATTCAAGCAGCCTCTTAAAAATAGAGACTGCCATCCTGTCACACAGTTTTAAACATTGAGTTCATCTAAACATGTTAAGGATCAATCTCATGGATTACTAAAAAAGTAAATCCATGTCTTCATGTCTGAACATCAGTGACATAATAGCAGAATTTTCAGAAGCCCTCACAGTCCATCACTAACTTCAAGCTCTCAGCAGCAGACCTTTCAGTGATCTGCCACATACTATCCATCCATCTCCTTGCTAGTTGTCCCCTACTACAATGACCCTTCAACATTCCTTCCATAATAACTTTCTCAAGGTTATTTCCAAAGTACACAAGTTTGCATACATAATTTCTGACATCAGGGTCTGCTTCTCTCCAATAATATTTCTAACATCAGCGTTAGTCTTCTTTTCCATCCAGGAAATATGGAAGAGTCTTTGTTGGCAGCATACTTCAAAAGCTTCAGTTTTCTTCTTGTCAGCAGCATTAACTTCCCACAGGTTACTAATATCTGTTTTTTTTCAGATAATTACAACATTCCCATAGCGCTTATCATCTCTATTTATACGTTTTTTTCTTAACCTTCACTCCAGTTCAATGTACGGGTTTTTTTTGTTCAGAAACATATATATATTAAATCACTCGCTCCACTCCTCCCAAGTTTCATTGAACTCCTGGCTTGTACTGGAGGCCAATAATGAGGCATACTTGATCAATATGTATTTTAAACATCCTGTATAAGCATTTTCTATTCCGCAGTGTTCTCTCCCTCGTGGTGTACTGAAACAGTTTTCAGCAGTTAAAGAGGCTTTGTGAGTGCAAGTTATTCCAGCTAAGGTTCACAATCTTATATTCAATAATATTTGTTCCATATCCATTTGTTTCAACTGGTAATCTAGTAAGAATTTACATGTTTTATTAAATTCTTCTTTTTTGGGGCTTCATGCCTCCTCTTTTCCTGGTTAGCAATCATAACTGTGGAGGACATGTTGATCATGAGATCTATATTTTCCAGTGGCTGGAAAAAAGCCAGCTAATTCAACTGTTAAAGTACAGATTCTGCTGCCAGACCCACAAATAATATGCAGAGTTTATTCCACATTTTGTACATTCACAGTGTAGAACAGAAGACAAAATCTGTCCCTCAACTTCCTCTCCTTAACTTTTCTATTTCAATGTCTACACCTTGGGGACATGGTCAGAAGAATGGGTCAGGAAGATGATTTTAGCAGAAGTGTTTTGAATGGACCTAGAGAGGAGCAACATGAATGTCAGGAAGGCCAAAGATAAGGTGGCCACGGTAATAAAGAAGGGGATGAAGTGGCTAGAAAGGAAAGGAATCTCAGAACTGTTGTCTCAGCGGAGGCAAGTTCTGAACACAGCACGGATGTACAGTGTGTAGAGAAAGAAAAGGGAATCAAGAATAACACCCAGTTTATGGACCTCTATGACATAGGATGGCCATGTAGTCAACAGTGTTGGAGAAAGGAGAGAATGGAAAAATAAGGTGGTCAGCTTTTGCCATGGTAAATTTAGGTTTATTCTAAATCTAGTGCTCTGCTCCCCTTTATCCACATTGTGTATTCAAAACATAGCTGCCAAAATCAGTGTTCTAGCCTATCCTTCCAACCACGTCACCCCTCTTTTTGGAAAATGAAAAAGAAAGGAAGCTTAAGGAGAGACAGGCTGAGATGTGTACAAATATATTTATATTTATCAACACAGACATAAAATTATATACACTGAGTTTTTATGACATTATAGGAGAATCTTACTACATTATCACAGTCAAAACTAGAATCACTAACCAGATAAGAGCTTGTCTTGCAAAGCACACAGCTCCTTCAATTTGCAATTAAGTTAAGAGAAGTTGTGGGCATTCAGTATCATGCAAAAAATTAAACCAAATATGAATAGGCCAGATCCTTGTCACCAAGATCACTTAAGACTGTAATATAAATTAATATGCTCTGTTGTGTCAGACAAAAATGTTTCTCATGTATTAGGTGAAGAAATGATGATCTGAAGCAGAAAGGTTTTGACACCTATAAGGCACCTGAGAAAATACTTATAATATTTATCAAAACTGATAAGATCTAGCAGCAGTATAGCTACTTACTCTAAACAACCCTTTTGAGAATTAAAATTAAAGTTAGGGAAAGAGCTGAAGGGTTACATATTTAAGGCTTAGTCCTGTCTTTTCCTGTACATATGTGCAATTGATGCTGGATGCCCAAATGGCCCTGCAATGTCAGCCAAATGTGTAGGCTGACATTGCAGGAAAAAAAGGTAGGGAAGCCACATGTAGTAAATAAGGGCATCTGGGTAAGTATTTATGAACTTCAATTTCTTTTTAATGTGCCTGAAGCACAAGACATACAAAATTTCAATTTTAATAATCATTCACATCTTACCACCAATACAATAGCTCCCCTTAATTTACCACCGCAGAGAGATCCTGAATAAATAGGATAGCCTTGTAGTTAGCATTAAACCTCAGCCATCTCAGGCACTGTTGAACCAATGTGGAGAGCGAGTTCCTGAGCCTATGACTCTACATTGAAAGCGTCTTGCCTCCAGACCTCCTCCAGATTTATATCTGGAATCTCTTAGCTTGGGCACCTCAGCTGAGTTCAACCACTGCAGTACCACACAAGGAGAGAGATAGTCTCTAAAGTATGCCTCTGTGACAACATACCAGGGCACGATAGCCTACAGGGACCGCCTGCAGGGCTGTAACAGCCTACAGAGCATTCTGTAGAGGGAAACTGGCATGGCCAAACCTTAATCCGACCAGTACGTATGTTATCATCATACAGGGAGCAGTGACCAGCCAAGGTGAGATCATGTGCTCCTGTTCAGAGGAGAAGCAACACAGAGACAGATGTACATTGTGGCAGCCTATCTTAAGCCATTCCATCCAGCTACTACAGGATGACTTGTGCCAGGATCACAGGTTACATGCCACTATCTCCACTGCACTGACTTTCTTCAGTCAGTGTTTAGCTCTCAATGTATTACTGTATACACCTCTATCCCAATATAACACTGTCCTCGGGAGCCAAAAAATCTTACCGCGTTATAGGTGAAACTGCGTTATATCGAACTAGCTTTGATCCGCCAGAGTGCGCAGCTCCCGCCCCCCGGTGCACTGCTTTACCGCGTTATATCCAAATTCGTGTTATATCGGGTCGCGTTATATCAGGGTAGAGGTGTATCTTAATTTAATTAACACAAAAACTTCAAAATCTCCAGAAGGGTTATGTTCCAATGACAATCTCCATGAGGAAACCGCCATTTTAAAGAGCTCCTAGTCCTTATCAAATGCTGAATTATAAAACAGAAAGCATTTAGAGAGCAACATGACTTGCTAACAAAGGCTCCAACTCATGTTAGTATGGCACAAAAGCAGCCACAAGGCTTGGAATGTCAGCCTTGTTCAAACTAAAGTTTTCCACTTGCAAGGTCAATAATTAGGGGTGAAAGTAACTTAAAGGACTTATCGGTACGCCAGAGTCCTGAGCGGGTCGTGGCCTCAACCCGAAGAGGCGTGGCCTCAACCCGAAGAGGCGGGGCCTTTCAAGATTTAAAGGCCCTGGAGCTCCGGCTGTGGCTGGGAGCCCCAGGGCCTTTAAATTACCCCGGAGCTACCAGCTGCAGAGGCGGCTGGGAGCCCCGGGGCTCAAGGGCGAATTAAAGGGCCTGGGGCTCTGGCCACCATGGAGCTCCGGGCCCTTTAAATCACCATAGGAGCCCTGCCGCCGCTACCCCGGGGTGGCAAGGCTCGGGCTAGGGCTGGGGTAGCAGCGGCAGGGCTCCAGAGGCCATTTAAAGGGCCCGGTGCTCCTACCACTGCGGGAATTTAAAGGGCCCGGGGCTCCGGCAGCTGGGCTCGGGTGGTGATTTAAAGGGCCTGGTGCTCCTGCCACTGTGGGGAGCCCCGGGCCCTTTAAAGCGCCACCGGAGCTCCGGCAGCAGGGCTTGGGCGGCACTTTAAAGGGCCTGGGCTCCCCGCAGGGACCGGTGCTTTGGGATCTTTAAATCTCCATCCGAGCCCGGCTGCCGGAGCTCCGGCGGTGATTTAAAGGGCCCGGGGCTCCCCGCAGCAGCTGGAGCCCTGGGCTCTTTAAATCACCGCCGGAGAAGACGGTCCAGTCCGGCAAGGTACGCCGTACCGGATCATACTGGCTTACTTTCACCTCTGTCAATAATACAATCTTCTTATAGCTAGAACAACACAGGACATGTGGATATTAGGAGATAACTTCTAATCTTGAGTGCAGGAGGCACTTTGGTCTTACTGTGCACCTGAGGCACATGGTTTTCTCTCAATAACCCCACTGTCTGCAGTACATTATTCTTTGCGTAGAAGTGCTTCAGAACACTGGGAAATGAAGAGCACAGCCCAGCAATGATTTAGGGTATAGTTAACAGTACACTATAGTTGCGATTATTGCAACTCCATTTTAAGGCAGTGACTTAGGAGGCCTTCCATTTGCAAATAAGTATTTCCTTTCTTCACCTACAAAAGGGTAAACTTTTCTTGCAGGGAAAAAAAGCACGCATTAGACAGATATCAAATATATGTCTATATAATAGGACTAGCAATGAATTGCATACTCACATGGAGAAGTGTCCACAAACATAGGGTCTATGTTATGAAGCAGCTCCTTTCTGGGAGAAGGGCTTCCTTCACTAGAACAGAGATCATTGGGAAACATTAATTTCCTTCTAGAGCCCACTAGAAATCTTCACGCGCTATTTTAATACTTCCTTTTATTATACGTGTAGGAAACAATTGTGTCCATTAACTATTATGAACTTTTAATTCAAAGGTGACCTACTGATCCAGTAGCTATAATATTTTAGCCCAATCCTACAACTCCACACCCAGGTGAGTAGCCCCCAATGAAGTCAGTGGGGGGCTACTCATGTGCATAAGGGAGCCAGGATTGGACCTCTACATATTAAGTAAATGTTACACTGAAAACGACCAACATTCCTTAAAAGGTCCACTATCTATAAAAAGCAGCATGCAAGCCAGTTAGAAGTCATTTGTTTTCATTATGGAAATTAAAATAAAAACATTCATCATACCACAAAAATTGTAATGATAAATAGTGAACTTCAAAGACAACCATTCAGATAATATCTAGATTTATTTTTATTTTATTTTAAGCAACAGCATATAAGACACAAGTAAAGACAATCTCTGACATGAAACATTTACCATCTAGAATACAAACACAGGCAAGATAACACTCAGTGGAAATCTTAAACGAAGATGTTAAAACCATATACAATTTTATTTTGGGAGGAAATATTTTATAATTCAATATCAATAATACCTAATTATAGAATTAATATTTCCCCTCTTTATATCATCTTTGGAAGCCAAACATTCTGAGTAAAAGTGAAATTATAAATTACTGGTGGGACTGATTCAGACAGTAAAAGGTATTTATTTGTATTACATAACAAATCATACAGCACTTTCAGCTAATGTACAGCCAGAATCCAATGTTAAAAATTCTGTGTGCAAAAACTGCCGTACAGGAAAATTTTCCCCACAATGCATTAAAAATGTTAGGGTTTTAATTTCTCGTTAGCATCACAAGCTACACGCCTGACTGAGCCTTATGTAACAGGTTTGCATTTTAGGACCTTCATTAGATTCTGAACTGCTTCTGCATGCTCAGGTTGCAGCTGTGGCCAACAGTGTTTTTCTCCATCTGTTCCTGGCAAGAAGAGTGAGACCTCTCCTTTCAGGTGCAGCCCTCATTACAGTTATCCGCGCCTTTCTCACCTTGAAACTGGATTAATTTGAATATGTGCTACATACTGATACAACTTGAAGAATATCCAGAAACTGCAATTAGGCCAGAATGCAGCTCTTAAATGCCCACTTGTTAAATGATGTGTCAAACAGAGTGAGAGCCTGTTAAACCAGTGCTCTGTAATGCGTACCAGCTGCCAGTAAATTTATGGGGTGGAGTTTAAGGTGTTGGGATTTATCTATAAAGCTCTGTGTGGTTTAGGATCTTATTATCTGTGAGTCTGTCTTCCTTCCTATGCAATAGCTCCACTGCTATAATGAACAACAGTGCTTGAGCTAGATAGCTCCTGGCTTAAAAGGCAAGAGACTGCTTACAGGGCATTTTCTACAAAGGATTCCACTCACCACGTTTTAGCCCAACAAAGCTTAAAATTGTTATTCTTCCAGCCACACTACTAAGCCCATCTGTTTTACCTTCTGGCCATTTGGGAAGGGGGTTGATTGATAGATTCTAGAGATGAAAGTCCAGAAGGTATCATTAGATCATTTAGTCTGACCTCCTGAACACATTGAATAATTTTGGTGGCTCTTTTTGCACTCTCCCATTTTTCAACATCCTTTTTAAAAGGTGGACACCAGAACTGTACAAAGTATTCCAGTATCATTCGCAGCACTGCTGTATGCAGAGGTAGTATCACCTCCCTACTCCGACTCACTACTCCCCATTTATACATCCGTGGATTCCATAGCATCGCACTGGGAACTTTCCTTGAACTGACTATCCACAACGACTCCTAAATTAATGTTCATAGTCATTGTTCTCCAGGATATAGTCCCCCATGCTGTAAATATGGCATGCATTCCTTCTTCCTTGATGTATAAAACTTCTCATTTAGCTGTATTAAAAACACATTTTGTTGGAATGGGCACAGGTTACCAAGCAATCCAGATCACATGGTATGACTGCCCTGTCTTCATTATTAACTACCACTCTATAACCTTGTTGTCATCTGCAAATTTTAGTAGCAATGACTTTAAATTTACTTTCAGATAGTTGATGAAAATGTTTAATAGTGTTGGGGCTAGAACCAATCCTTGCCAAACCCCACAGGAAACGCCATCGTTCAATGATGATTCCCCATTGACAACTACTTTTTTGAGATCTGTCAATTAACCAGTTCTTAATCCATTTAACCTATGCTCTATTGTTTTGCACAGTGCTAATTTTTAAAACTTAGAATATTTTGTAGTACTAGGCAACTGCCTTACAAAAATCTAATTATATTACATCTACCTTTATCAGCCAAATGAATAATCTCATCAAAGAATGAAAGCAGGTTTGTTTCACAAGACCTATTTTTCATAAAATCATGCTAATTGGAATAAATAATGTTCATATCCTTTAAATCTTTATTAATTGAATTCAGTGTCAGCTTTTCCATTATTTTGCCCTGAACTGATGTCAGGCTAACTGGCCTGTAGTTACCTGGATCATCCCGTTTACCCTTTTAAAAATATTAGCACAACATTAGCATTTTTCCCCATCTTCTGGAATTTCCCTGCTATTCAAGGGATGATATCAAAAATTAACATCAGTGGGTCAGAGATCTCCTAAGCCAATTCTTGTAGGACCCTTTGGTGCAAGTTATCATGGCCTGTTAATTTTAAAATGTTTATCCCTAGTAGATGTTGTCTGACATGCTCCTAAATTGCTAAAGGACTACTAGAAGATACTTCTTCATCCCAATATGATACAAGTACATCATCCTAGTACTTTCCAAATAAGAAGTATTTATTGAAACACTTCTGCCCTTTCTGTATCATTAATAATTTTACCATCTCCATCTAGAAATTAACCTATACCATTGCTTGGATTTCTTTTTTTCCTAATATACTTAAACTTCTTCTTATTGTCCTTAACCTAGCCAGACATGGATTTTTCTTGATGTCCTTAGCTTCCCTTTATCAGTTTTCTACACTTCATAACTTTTAATTCATATCGATTGCTGTCTATTTTCTCTTTTTCCCAATTGTTATATATTGCTTTTTAAATATCTAACTGATGCCTTCACTTTGCCACTGAACCAAGATGAGTTTTTAGTCATTTTCTTTAGCATCCTTCTTGACTGTGGAATTGTGGTTGTTAGAACATCTAATAAACTATTCTTAAAGAACTCCCAATTTTCACTCATATTTTTCTATCTAATTTTTTTCTCCTACTCAATTTTGCTCATAATTTTCCTTAGTTTTGGGAAATTAGCCTTTTTGAAGTACCACAACTACATATTACTAGTTGGGATAGTTCTCTGTCCACATTGAATATAATCAAGTCAAGATCACTGGTCCATAGGCAACCACCAACTTCTAGTTCAGCCTTTATCAGTCATAATAAGGTGCCAAAATAGACTTACCTCATGTTGGTTACAATACCTTTTGTGTTAGGAAATTATCTGTAATTTTTAGAAACTGATGGGGTTTTACTACTGGCTGCAAAAATCTTCCAGAATATGTTTCCCAAACTGAAGCTCCCCATAACAACACAGGTCCCTCTCCCTCCCCACACATTACAGACTGGTGTTTAAAGAGTGACTCCTGTTCTCTAGTTTGATTTGGTGGTCTGTATCAGACCCCCCATCAGCGAAACCTCTTGGGCTTTATTAGTTAGCAGATGTATCCAGGTGCATTTTAAACCCTGTGCTTCTGATTTATCATAACTAAAACAAATAAGGGTGTCTTTAACGTGGATTGCCTCCTCCCCACCTCTTTAACCCACTCTACCCTTCCTGAACAGATTATAATCAAAGACATTAAACACTCCAATCATGCGAATCATCCCACCAGGTTAGATTCAAAGTAGTTGGGATTGGGATTATTAATGCTGTTATGGTGGACCAGTTTTGTGGCTTGTTGTATGTTATTCAGTGGCTTTTAATTTTGTATATTTAATGCATAAAAACCTAAGATTTCATTAGACTGACTGAAGAATGGCAGGCATTGAAGGTCAGAATCAAGCCTAGAACAGTGTGAAATCTCTTTCATACTGTTTCTTCTGCACAACTGGGGGAGGCATGCAGCTTAGGGTAGAAGACCGGAAGGTGTATACTTTGGTTGCGGTGGAAGGAGGAAGCCACTTTGGGCAGTAACTTGGGGTGAAGACATAAGGCGACTGTGTCTTTGTGGAAGACGGTAAATGGTGGATCTGCCATCATGGCTGCCAGTTCTCTGATGAACCGTGCGGAGGTGATGCCCACCAAGAAGATCACCCTTCATGGAAAGATGGGTGAGAGAGCAAGTGGTGAGGAGGTTGAAGGGTGGCTTCGTGAGTGCAGTGAGGACAAGATTCAGATCCCAAGAGAGGGTAGGCCTCCCTACGGCGGGAAAGGCACTGAGAAGGCTGCGGAGGAAGCAGGAGGTCTTTGGATGGGTGAAGACGGAGACGCCATCGACAGGAGGAAGAAAGGCACTGAGCGCCAGGTGAACGCAGATGGAGGAATGGGCAAGGCCCAATAGGCATAGATGACGGAGGTAGTCTAGAAGGACAGGAATGGAGACTGAGTCTGGAGGGATGTGATGGTGCGCCCACACAGTAAAGCGGCGCCACTTAGCTTGATAACAGTGGATTGGAGTCTGCAACGCGTGATCATGTCTTGGATGGGGGTGGAGCAAGCTTGGTCTACACACAAGCCCCATCCAAATACCAGGCCATGAGATGGAGAGGGCTTAGCATGGGGTGCTACAGCCAGCCATGCGCCTGCATTAGGAGGTCCGGGAGGGCCAGAAGAGGAATCGGGGGGGCGAGCAGAGAGGTGGAGAATATTGGTGTACCAATACTGAGAAGGCCAGGAGGAAGTTATAAGGATAACCATCACTCAGTCCTTCCGCACTCTGCGCAGGACCTGGGGAAGGAGGAGAATGGGCA